TGGACGGTACTTAAAAGTCAATTCTCATATGTTTGAGATATTTTTTATTACACTATCAATATAATTTACTAGATATACACAATATAATTTCTCAAAAGAGGATTTGTCTTATCATCCTCTCTCAATTTTAGCTCATCATTTGACCACATCTTATTGAGAAACTCTACAAATATGTGTGGGTTGTTGGTGAAAAAAATGTTTATGCTATTATTGATGAACATCATTAACGCTCAATCGCAAATTCATTTAATTGTGCACAATAAGCATGAATCAAATTAGATAATACTATACCCCTATTGACACTCCTTTATTTAGTAAGGATTTCAGTTTTCTTCCACTTTTGATTAGAGATGTGCTGCATTTCTCATCGGGACAATTAATAGCAAAATCAAATAAGGATGTATTGTCCCCTATCTCCAACACTAATTTTTTTTTTTTTTAAATAATCAAATTTCACCCAGATTGATCGATCGGATTAAATTGGGACAAATTAATCAGAATTTCCTATCAACCCGCTCCATCTCAAATAACGCGCCCATTTCGTCCCCCAATTCTAGTTCAAATCGAAAGTAGAACAATTGACACAAAAATCGAATTGGGCCGTCTTGTTTTCTTTAACCATTTTATTTATATACTATATCCAATTATCCATCTAGACACTTTTTTATATTTACCAAGTATTTTAGCTTGTGTTTTTCACTTTGACCAAAGATGTGCGACAAATTTTCTCTGAATTATAATTTTGTAACATTTTAAGTTCTCAAATTCATAATGCACAAGTTATATGCTTTCTAGTGTTGTGGTTTTAAATTTCTCGAAGCTCGAGCTATTTTAATCTTATATTTTTATTTATATTCCTTGAATTTGCACAATTATATTTAAAGAAATAAGGAGAGATACATTTATATTGATACATGAATCTAGTACCAAATATGCATTTGATGAATTCAATGTATTTAATAGTGAATTTTAATATATTTGTGATTTTATGATTTAAATTTCAGTTGAAATAATATCGAACATTATAAAGGCTAATTATCTACCTTTATAAAAAACATTTTAAAACTTTAAATTAAATAACTCAAATCTTCATATTAATTAATAAAATTTTACAACTATATCCAAGGTAATATATTATAAACAAATTATTAACTTTATTATTATCTAAAATTAATCCTATTTTTATAAATAATAATAATATTTTGTGAAATTAATGTTAATTGTCTTTTATGACTATTGTAATAAAAATGTCTATTGTTGGTGAAAGCATATAGCCTGAACTTGTTCATCGTATTGTACAAGTAACAAGCATCTTTAACCCAAAAAATGAAACAAAAATGAAAATTTGTTTATTTTATGGTCATTGTTCTAAAAATGGTTTTTGTTGGTGAAATGATATAGTGCTTGATCTAATTCTCCAGTGCTATACGAGTAACAAGAATCTTTAACCCAAAAATGAAACAAGAAAGAAAAATTGTGTGTTCAACCAATATAGAAAAGTATTACATAGTTATAATGTTTTCTATGTACTTACTCATATTATCCTGATTTCGAAGATATAATAGAATTATGTTTGCAAATTAAACTTCTATTTCATAAATTATAGCATATGCAATTAGTAAAGTTAATAATGATATTATAAGCAAGTATCACATAACAAAAAATATAAGAGGATTACGAGAATTTGTCAGTTGTCATAGTCTTTGCATTTGATTATCTGTGTAACTTTACTTAAAAATAAGAGAGAAATTATTTCACAACACATATTAACAACACAAATTGAAAGGTATCAATTTTGAACAAATGAGTGAGAATGGAAAAAAAGAGCAATTTTTTTCTTTTCTTTCTTTGAGAAACGAGTAGTAACTTTTTTTTTTTTTTTAAAAAAACAAGATGTTTAAATAGAAAAAGCTACTTTCTAATCCTATTTTGAACTTGAAATATGAAATGAAGTATATACATACTCATAAATCAAATAGTTTACCATCTATGGGGCATATACATACAAATAAAATAAATAATTGACCTCTATGCGATTTGAGGAAAGACGTAAATAAACATTGAAAAAGTTCTCTCTCAAGCACTTTGCTTATTTATGAAAATTGTGGAAAAAGTTCTTGCAATGGAAGAGGTACTGAAACTCATTATTGTAGGTAATTTTTACTTATTTATGTATTTTGGACATATTGTGATTTGAAAATAAATTATACACAATTGAAGTTTTGTTTAAACATGCAATTTAATTTTTTTAAAGTTGTATTTCTTTTTTCATATGACATGTTCAAATGGGTCATAAATTTGATAGTTGGTTAGATTTGCACACTTATTAATTATTCTATCTTCTATTTTGTATTAATTTCTCACAACTAATACATAGAGCTTTCAAAATAAGTTAGGCCCGTTGTGCGGCTTAACCCAACCCATGATTTGATAAGGTTTAACTAAGATTTTTGAAGCCTATATAAGAACATAGTTGCTTAAGTAGTAGGCCCTCTTCCCTATGGGGCTTGAGCTATGTAGGTTGGGCTGGCCGTAGACCAATTTAAAAAATAAAAATAAAGTAAAATTATAAAAATAAGTAATAAACGAGAGAAATTCAGATTCAAAGTCTATTTATACCATAATATATAGATATTACAAGTTAATATTTCTATATGTTAGTTATATTGTTACTAATTAACTATTTAGTTTTCTTATTAATATCTCTATTGGTTCGAGTCGTATCATGTCATAAGTTACATGGTTCCATAGAAACTTTATGTCCATGAGAATTATTTTCTTGAATGGTTATATTCCAACAAATTTGCATAGTATCACCATGTAATATTATCTTGTAAATATTTATGTTAACATTTTATAATTAGAATTTAAATTTAAAAAATTATTAAAAAGGATGAATTAGCCCGGCGTGGCCCATAGCTCACGTAGTGATTAGTTGGGCTTGATGTTTCTTGATCCACCAAATATATGGGCTAAACCAACCTGGGCTGCCAAATGAACTAAGCCCAAATGAACTTGATTGACCCATATTAATACCTCTACTTATGCATGTAATTAGTTATGTGAGTCTATAAATTGCAAACAAGAACATCATATTAATTTTATACATAATCAGTAACATATTTCGTAATCAGTTACCAAATATTGTATAACTTATATAGAAATTAATACATGTCAAGTTGCTTCTTCACTGACTATCAGATGACACCTTAAGTTCTAATTCAATTTCAAATATCATTCAAATTCAAATTGACTCTCAGAAAGCAAATAATATAACCAAAAACAGGCCAACGGTGATTTGGATTTAAATGGATCTAATCACATATATACTATATTGAACTTGAATTTATTAACCTTATATTTTGAGCTACCTACTACCTACTTTAATTTGTGCTACAAACTTTAAACTAATTCATTTAGTAGAGCATATGAAATTTTTTATAACTCACTGTAAAAATAAAGTAATCTTAGATTAATTATTATAACCATTTTTAGATACTAACACAAGTCAATAGATGAGATTGAGACATACGTTTCGGACTAAACAATTTCATATAAAAGTTTTAATTTTCAATCTTTAATCTCTCATAAAATAACATATATAGATTCATGTCTGACTTATGTAAATATTATTTCATGTGTACAACAAAAATCACAACCAAACAATACATTGGGAATGCTGGATTTTATGTGAGGTCTCGCATTGATCAGGAGATGTACATTGTGAACGCTAGATTCGGATGAACCCTTTACGATATTTAACATTCAGAAGCGGATCTTAGATTTATGTTCTGTAGGTTCAATCTTTAAGATAAAGGGGAGCCTTGGAGTAACTGCTGAAGTTGTTGCTATGTGATCAAAAGGTCACGTTTTCAAGCTTTGGAAACGGTCTCTCGCAAAAATGCAAAGTAAGACTGCCTATAATTGGCCCTTGTAGTTTGGGCTCTCCCTTCCTTGGGCTGCTCCTTTTTCGGTTAAAAAAAAGGGCAAATTACAGAAATCACATACTTTTAAGGCAAAATTATAATATATCCCTTAAAAGTTTATAATTACATAAATCCCTCAAACGGATATAATAATATAAGCGCTGATACATTAATCTGATGCGCGAGATACATTAATCGTTAAGTAAAATACATTACATTTTATACATGATACACTAATCTGATGTACATTTTATACAAAATACACTAATCTGATGCGCGAAAATGAGGGATTTTTGGAGATTTGTAAAAACTTATAGGGGATAATGGTAAAAAGTAAACTAAAAAGTGGGATTTTTGTATTTTTTCCTAAAAAATAAGTGTGTTTCTTACTTATTTTATTTGTGTTCAGTATGTAAGAAAAAAATATTATTCTAAAAGTATTTGTATATAATCTAGACAAACACTATAGGCATAGGAAAGGGGGTGGGGTGATGGGGAAGGGGCTATGGGAGTCGGGGAAGATGAAGTGTGTTGGAGGGTAGAGATGACATAATCGATGTGTAATGTCATTTGTGAAACTCATTTTCCTTGCTTGGATTAGATAAGTCATTTTCTTTATTTATAAGGAACTTGTTTTTCTAGAAAAAGTGTTCTTCAAAATTTGTGACCAACTGACATGTAAATTAGCAAAGAAATAGAAAATCTAGCTAAACTATAAGCTATTTTGTTTAGACATCTAGGAATATATATAAAATCGACATGATCAAACATGCTTGAGAGCACCCCAAATATCTTCACACATCACTTCTATCTCTCTCATTGAAGTAAACATTAGTTTCATTGTCAACATTTTTAGCATGCGTAAAAACCTTCACATTCTCTCCATCCATTACTAATAGCACATTCAAGAGTCTTCCTAATAACAATTATTTCAGTAGTCATGACTTTTCATACACATTGGATTGGACCATAAGCATGAAGCAGTTTCCCAAGGCTATCCATAGCCGCAAATATGTTAGTCCTCAACATTGGATCGAAACTGTAACTATAAAATCTGAGAAATGATCAATTTAGTCATCTAAGTAAATGATCATTTACACCAATTTCCCATCCTTGTACAAGTTGACCAGAAGCTGCAAGCACAAAAACCTAAGTTTAACACATCAAAATAAATACAAGTCATTGTCCCATACATCAAATACAATACCTATACGAAATTCAAGAGGTTCTCCTTCTCCAATATTGGTACCGAGTATTTTTCCATTCTCCTTTAGTTTGCCAGTATAACGTATACCAACCTGTTCAGTGGAAGAAAGTCATTACTAATAACGAAACAACAGAGTGAAAGAATGATAAACATAATCAAGAACGAAAGCTACACCTTAAATCCCCGTGAAAGCTTTTCTCCCACCTGGTTTGCCCTCTCTATGACCAATCCAGATACAAATGACTTCACAAGAGAAGGCTTATCTAGTTCACCCTCTGTAATTGTTTCGCGATCCTGTTGACATTTCTTCTTCTTTTTCTTGAGTAGGCGAAAGAAGAAATAGCATGTTCTAAAATAGATATATAAGTTGAGAATACATTCAGTATTGTCAACAGTAGTTATATTCAGGGGAAAAGGGTCAAAATGCCCATCCACTCATCAAAAGTTTGTCTCTGCGGTTACCAAAGTATGCAAAAACGTCCCTATTTTGGATATAATCTCCCAAAAACACCCGATTTCCCTTAAATAACCCCTCTTTTTGTGTCTTTGAAAGATGCAGAGTAGAGAGTTTACCTTCATTACTTAAAAATTTCTTAAGCCTGCAAAAATACACATTGATGGTTTTATCGAATCCATTCCACACCGCTGCTTGAAAAGTCTTTACAGCGGCATCAACATCAACATCAACAGTAGTATCGGTGTTCCAGTAAATCATCAAATTGATATATATATATAACCATTTGAAACGTTTCAAATAACAATACAAGCACTTACATTCTTTGAATTGAAATCATGAATTGCCAATTTGCACAGCTCAGTATATTCCTGTTTTATCTTCGGATCCGTCACGTAATCATGGAGTTGTTCAATCCCAGCCATAGAAAAACAACCCGGGTGGACAGAGATATCAAGACCCTATTGCACGCAACAACACCATTTAACAAAGTAAAACATATAATAATGTGCCTAACAAGTATATACTTCGGTTTGCATAACAGGCCTGAAGCCAGTCCATAACAATTACTCCCTCTGTTCCAATTTATATCACATCTTTTATGTTTTGAGAGTCAAACAGTTTAAGTTTGACCAGAAATTTGCGCATGGAATCTTCAATTTTTTTGAAATAAAATTTATATATTTGTAAACTACGTAAAAAGTACTGTGAGTCACAATAATTGATAATTCAAAATGTTTAAAAAGATATATGAAAAATTTACGATCAAAGATAGACTTTTTTGACTCTTGAAATCCGAAAGGTGACATATAAAATGGGACGGAGGGAGTAATATACTTATACATAAATTATTATTGTTTACCTAGCAACATCTTGTAATTTTTGGATCAACCCCTTAACTCCATGTTGTTCCGCCACTTACAATAACATACCCATATATACTTCCACTAGTAAATTAAGTCCAGAGAAGGTAGTGTAATACACAAAACTATAAAAGAGGTTATTTCTCATAGACTTTCGATAAAAATCTGTATAAAATTTGAGATTAAGTTTATATCAGGTTTGTACACCAAAAATGTAGTATAAAAAGATATATAATATAATCTCATGAAATATTCTCGCAATTATCTCATCCCTGAGTAATAGTAGTTACCTCACTCTCATCCCACTCCCTGTAATATTGCTCCCAAATCTTGCGATCTGCTTTACCCTCCAAAATTTCGAAAGAAGGATCATTGGAGTCGTAGCCAATTGAGTAATCGCTTTCCTCAGATTCTTCTTCATGCGTATTCTCCTCTCCTTCTTTCGATTTCGACTGTAGTGAAAATTCCGGCTCCGCCATTGTTACAATTTTTTCAAATAAACGAGAGATATCGATCGAATTGAAAGGAGCAAAAAAGTCACCCCAATATATAAGTAAATATATCCTAAACAACCAACATGGGTTGTGGTGCACTGGTGGGAGTGTTTCACCCTTAACCAGAGGTCTCGGGTTCGAGCCCTCGGTATGGAAAAAATCCTATTGGGAGCGCCACCCCCGAATGGGCCCTACAGAGCGTGAACTGGATTTAGTCGGAGCTCCAATGTGGGCTCCAGACACCGAGTGTAAAACCAAAAAAAAAAATATCCTAAACAGAATGGGATTCAAATTACTTTTATGGTAATAAATTTGTTAATTATATTTTGAATTTTAGGAGATTTGGAAAAAGAAATTTATTATACTTATAGAATTAGGAAAATATTTTCCTTATGAGTTTGGACTATTTAAAATATTAAGTAATCCCATAATTATTGATTTTAGCCTATTACACAAAACTCTTTTCCCCGATTTTGATGTATTGCAAGAAAAAGAAATTGAATTAAAAAAAAAGTGACAATTCAAAATAATTAGAAGACATGCAAAGTTATTATTAAAAAAGATTCATTAAAATCTTGAAATTCGAAAAGCGTCCCACAAATTAGAAGGGAGGAGTAAGGATTTTCCCTCATTCCTAGTTTTGTAATGCGAAAGTCAGGTTTCACCCCCTCCATGCTTTTTTGGTTTATCTAGGCATAATACATAAAAATGACCCTTAACTTGACGTCATCTGACAATTATGACCTTTAACTTTGGATGTGCACAAGTAGGCATTTAAACTTATATAAAATTGAACAAATAAACACATTCGTCCTGCATGTCACCCTACATGTCAATTTTGTGTCCTACATGATGTCCTATGTGTATTATGTCATGTAGGACACGTGTGTCTACTTGTTCAATTTTATACAAGTTTAAGTGTCTAATTGTGCACACTCAATGTTGGAGGGCATAATTGTCAATTGAAGCCAAGTTAAGGATCATATTTACGTATTATGTTGTTTATCTATTTAATCCCCTTTGAGGAAAAAATGGAAGGGAGAGAGTACTAGTGTAGTATTTTGTGATGATATTTATCTAATTATAAATTTCAAATTTCAAATTCGTCCAGATTAGTTACATCGTCCCACCATACCTCTTGATAATATTATAAAGTCATGCATTTACATTTATGAATTACACATGAATTTCTCTTATTATATAAGAGAGACTTAATGAAGCAGACACGTCTCCGCCGATGTGACGGCTTCAGCTGGAAAAAAAATTAAGAAAATTATTTCTTTTGTTCTATTTTAATTTAATTAGTAAATAATTTTTTTGAAGTTATGAAATTCGTTTTAGCTATGAATTTTAGTTTTAAATTCATATTCTTTAGTTATAGCTTTATTATTTTAAATTTTATTTTTTAACCAAGCTCATCAAGTTGGCTTCAATTCGATTTCACCTATATTTAGTGGGATACATTACAACTATAACATATTAAAATTTAAAGTAATTAATTAGGACCATTAATTTACCACTTAGCGAGATAAGTGATATATACTATATATATTTGCTATGGAACCGCAACACTAAGATCTTATTAGTATTTCATAAGGGCTTCAAAACAAAATTAGAATATGTTGGGATCGAAATAATCAGGATGTCATACGAAAATTAATAATTGCAAACATTGAAGGCAATAAATCATACAATAATGTAAACTTTATAAGTTGATTAATTGACCTACATATGAAAAATTAATATATAAAAAAATTTCGACAACTATATTGTATATACTATTGTGTTATGTATGAGAAATGAAAACGTTGTTCAAACTATTCCTCTAAGAAAATCTGGCAAAATGGTAACGAAACTCTCAATACCATAGTGTAGCAGCTTTAGCAAGACCATCCATGATAACAGTTGTAATTTTGGACATATAAAATTTAAAACTAGTAATATTATATATTTTGGACATATAATTTTTAAAATTTAGTGATTCATATTAAGAACTTAAAAATCAAACCGATCAAATTTTATATATTAGATTCTTTTTTTTTGTAATAGTACACACATCCTTCTAGAATCCTGGATACGCCTCTGTCGATACTAGAGATATTATGTTTCTGGTATTTGTTAATACAAATTAGTGAAACATTCTCAACACTATAGAAATGTGATTTTTCTTACTAAATGATGCAAGTGAATGTTGTTATAGGCAGTCCTCATATATCTATTAGTTCTCCAGTTTAAAATATATTGATTTGATAAATAAAAATGTTATTGATTTATTGAAAGATCAAAATTTCAAATATACAAACATATACCTTATTATTTCAAACATAATTACAAAGAGGGAGAGGGACGAGAGAAGGAGAAAAACTAGCGAGAGAGGAGACCCTTGGGTGTTCATCTGACCACCCTTAAGTGTGTAGCTCGGCACCAATAGTTTTAGTTGTCATATTATTGTACCAAAACACCATTAAAGATTCGTAATTGTAGCTCTAATATATATAAGACATCATTAATTAAGATTAATTAATGTTGAACCAAAAAAATACTATATTGTAACTTTGTAAGAACTCAAACTTTACTATATGAACAAATAAAACCAAAATAGCCTAAGGAAAAACATGATCATCCAAATGTTTTTGGTCTTTCATCAACTGAAATTGTTCGTGCAACAATCGGCTTAAAGAGAAGGTCACAACAACAATTATAGGATTCTACATAATGGAAGAATAATGTTCGTCATGTGGAAGTAGGCCGATCAACATATATCAACTCAACTTCAATTACCAGCCATGAATCAGGTGGTACGATGCCACCATCACCTTTAGCCCCATACCTTTAGGAGGAAATTGGGAAAACATAAATTCATTAGTCAAGAGAAATTCATGGATGTAGCCAACAAGCGGAAACAACTTTGATGACTATATATGACATTGCAAACGGAATAGGAACTCAAATGTGCACACCCTAATTCTGGTGGGATTGTAATTCTTCTTTTGTCCCCAACGCGCATGCCTGATAGTTGGACGGACAAAATATGTTAGTCCTCAACACTGGAAGTGTAACTATAAAATCAGTCAAATGATCAATTAGTCATCCAAGTAAATTACCATTTACACCAATTTCCCATCCCTTTATAAGTTGACCAGAAGCTGCAAGCACAAAAACCCAAGTTTAACACATCAAAATAAATAGAAGCCAACTTCTCATACATCAAATACAATACCTATACGAAATTCAAGAGGGTCTCCTTTCCCAATATTTGTATCGAATATTTTGTCATTCTCCTGCAGCTTGCATGTATAACGTATACCAATCTGTTCAGTAGCATAAAGTCATTACTAATAACGGAACAACAAAGTGAAAGAAGAATTAATTATACATAATCAAGAGAGAAATTAGTTAGACCTTAAATCCTGGGTAAGCTTTTCTCCCGCCTGGTTTTCCCTTAGACAACTCCTCTATGACCAATCTAGGTACAAAGGACTTCACAAGAGAAGGGTTATCTTGCTTAAACTTTGCAACTGCTTCACGACGCTGTTGAAGTTTCTTCTTCCTTTCCTCTCTCATATTCTTCTTATCTGAGATTAATAGTGTCGACAATATAGGCATCAGAAGAAATAACACATTCTAAAATAGATATATAAGTTGTGCATACATTCAATATTATCAACTAAATCTGCACCAAGTACTCGTACTCGTGTCACACATGTTTGACACTGATACATCAAGACAAAAAAAGTGATCGACACAACAATAAATGGAATACGTACGGCTTATAAATAGTAAATGACCAAATGACTTTCAAGATAAAATTAGCTAGTGAATACATGCTTCCAGTATGTGTACTAATGAAGAACACTTTGTGCATCGGGCAGAGCTCTGCCTTTATTATTTACATATAGAATACTACAAACTGACGAAGGATAACTTACTTGTGGCTTAGTTTGCATAGGATTGTTATTCTCACTACATGACTTAGACTAGGACTCTTACCTGATCTATATGTATAAATATAACGTGTATTTACAATATAATATAATGAGAAAGTCTTTCATGGTATCAGGGCCCTAAGAGGTTAAAACAACCCAAAATTAAACCCTCGCCATAGAAACAGAAGCTTTGTAGCAGCTTCAATGGTGGACGACAACATCTCATCAAGTTCCTCTTTGCAGGGAACAACCGTGAGAACACAGACCTCCACGGTCACCACTCTACCATCTCCTAGCCTTGCTCATCAGTTACCGCTTAAACTTACATCATCAAATTTTTTGTTGTGGAAGACACAGTTCCTTCCGATGGTTCGCGGTTGTGGACTTGGTCATCATATTGATGGTAGTCAGGTAATTCCAGGGCAGTTTCTGTCTGATGATCAACCTAACCCAAACTACCATGTTTGGGTAAGAGCAGATCAACTTGTGTTAAGTTGGATCGTTGCTTCCGTATTTGAAGAAATATTACCCCAACTAGTTGGTGCTGAGACAACCCAAACAGCTTGGAACAAACTGGTTGCTGTCTATGCTTCAGGTTCGAAGCCTCAAATTCGTGAGCTGAAAACACAA